GAACATAACTCAATTAAAAGTATTTGAAAGATGTCCAGATATAACCGTGATCATTATCTGTGTAGGATGGCAAGTTTATAACTAATTCAAACATCTGTGTTGGGTGACCAGAGGTTTCAATATTCAGTATATGTGAAGGGTGACCAGAGGTAACCATATGCAATATCTTTGTAAGATGACTAGAGGTAACCTTATTCAATATATGTGTAGGGTGACCAGAAAGAACCATATTCAAAATTTTGGTAGGGTGACCAGAGGTCACCATATTCAATATCTTTGTAGGGTGCCCAGAGGTAACCATATTCAACATCATTGTAGAGTGATTAGGGGTTAACCATATACAACATCTTGGTAGGGTGTCCATATATTACCAAATTAAACATCTAAGTAGGGTTATTAAAGTTAAATAAATTCAATAGTTATGCACAGTGTCTAAAGATAAAAAATAGAATATATGTGTAGGGTGACCAGAGGTCACCACAATTAATTATGTAAAAGGTGACAAGGTGCAACAAAATTCAATATCTGTGAAGGCTTGCCGGGTTGACAAGAGGTAACCAAATTCAATATCTTATAATGTTTATTGCAATTCAATACATGTGTTGGGTGACCAGAGGTCACCACAATTAATTATGTACAATTAATTATGTAAAAGGTGACAAGGTGACAAGATGTATAGAAATTCAATATCTGTTTAAGGGCCATTCAATATCTATATCTGTGTCAATTAATTAGAAGAACCACTGTAAATTTATCTGCAAAGGAAGTAAGGTTAATAAAGTTACTATGCATTTTGTATCAAATGACCAGTGTAACTGTATGCACTATTATTTTCTGTATAGGGTGACCAGAGGTAACCAATGGCAGTTTAAAGGTACCCGAGTTCGAGGCATACCATCTTTTTAGTTATATTTCATGAGAGTGCAATATAGGCCATTAGGTTATTTTTTTTTTCTGAAAAATAAGACATATCACTCGTTAATAGAGTTACAGATGAATCTTCTATGCATTTTCAATTGTTTGTTTTGAGTGAATCATTATGATTATTGATTATTTGTGTATTATTTTTTACTTTTTGTACCTCTCTCAACAGTATCCTTTGAAATATGGTGATTCCAGAACTTTGCATTAAGCTCATATCCGTATTGTATAACAGCAATTATAAACTGAGTATACTGCACTGAGTATCCCCTTAGTAACGTACTTTCACTTTAAACCGGAAATCATGTACTATTTTTTGTCGCGTATAGACTCAATTTTAACCGTTTCTGTTCAGGTGACCAGTGGGCACCGTTCAGCGTAACTATCATCCTTGTGACTTGCACTTTTCTGTTTAGGCCCCTTTTCCGGTTTTTATGTTGTTAAACAGTTGTATTTTGGCTTTCCAAATTGTTTGTCTTGAACATACCATAATTATGAGGTGGTGTATAACACCGATCATATGATACGTTTTTGACTACCACTGGTGGTGGACTACCAGTCCCCAATTGTACGAACCTGTGTCCTCTAAACAGTATAGCCAATACTTGGTATTGAACATTATTTTAATAATTCATTCTGTATATTTTCTATTTATAATACTATTGAATAGGGTGCAGCATCCATATGCAAAGTTGCATAACTTTTGATGTTATTGACATTTTTGCTGCTGCTTTTTCTGGTTTCTGTGCATTTTAACGTCTTACATCTTTGACTTTAGGTATCGAGCGTACCTGACGGTTATTTCAGAAACACGTTGTGCGGTCGGAAATCCTATCACACGTTTTTGTACATATCTATGACCACTTTTATATATTTTCTAGTCATTCTAATGTTAATTTTAAATGTATTGAAGAGATAATGGTTTTACTACGTATACTGTGCTTAACCAGGGGTGTTGCCTGTTTTGAACATCAATTATTACAATCCCGTCCTCTTTTCCCCGAATGTGACCTACCGAATTAGCCATCACCGCCGGGGTTTGTACATACATGATCAACACGCACACACGAAAGGTGCCACATGTGGAGCATGATCTGCTTACCCCTCCGGAGCACCTGAGATCCCCCCAGTATTTGGTGGGGTTCGTGTCGCTCAGTTTTTAGTTTTCTATGTTGTGTTTTGTGTACTGTTGGTCTTTTTTTTTTAGCCATGGATTTGTCATTTTATTTTCGACTTATGAGTTTGAATGTCCCTTTGGTATCTTTCGCCTCTCTTTTAGCCTCAATGTTTTTTTTATTTGATCAACTGGTTAAATTTTCAGGCTACTGCCAGAGCCAGTTTTGTATGAGCATACATGTTTATATACAGCGATGGTGCAAGTATGAAGCAGGTGTAGTATCCCCCCCCCCCCTTTGACCAGTTTCAAGAAATGAATTCAAATTTTTTTAAATAGATTTTTCCAGCAAACTTCAAAGTGTGAAATACATATATTTCTATGGTGCTAACCTGGATCATTGTTTTGCTCTAATGGAAAACTTTCAATAATTTCCAAAAGCACAGTATGGGTTATTGTAAACATCCACTTAAAGATCCTCCAAGAACTAATGACGTTGTTTGAAACATGATATCAGAAATGCTTACAACTATATAAAACCTGGTGTTCATGATGGGACTATTACACTTACATAATTAATAAAATTAGTCCTAGGGACATATGGTAATTAGAGAAAAACGGGTCCTTCTTGGAAATCATTTCACACACATTTATATATAAAAGGATAGGTGTATACATAAATAATACAGTTACCCAACAGCACAAATGACCAAAAGGGACAATATACAGTCCTACAACGGTAGACAATTTGTCAAGATCTAAATCCGCCAGAAGTCTATAAAAGATTAGAAAAAAAAGGTCTGCAATTAACAAGAAAATCTCCAAATAACCAAAAGCATTAAGAAATGACATACACAGGCACATAAATAATTGACAGGTTTAAACTAGGTTTTTTAAGATCCCAGCCCATCTCATAATAAACAATAATACTGCAATGCTATATGGTATTATTGGTTCCAGTCTTCATCATTCACATTACTGTAGAATATGACAGCATCTTCCAAATGGACATTTCAAATAACTAATTCTATAATTGTGATTAAAATTAATGCTAACTTTTTCAAAAGTAATTTTGTAAGTGTTGACAACTATAATGCTGATAAAAACATATTTTTATTGTTTTTAAATGAGCAATTTTACAAGGACTCCTTAACATAAGTAATTATCATGGATAAATATTAAAGTACTTAAAAGTTGATGTCAATAGCTGCCTTAAGAATCAGAGTTATCCTGAGTTTTATTAGGGGTTGTGTTGCTGAAACGTCAGTTTTCTGCATAGTGTTTCATGAACTTCTGACAGACTGTTGTTAATTTTTCTTTTGGCAATGATATTGCGGTTTTTTCCCTATGGTTTTTATTGACCATTAAGTATTCTCTACCACTTTTGGACATAAATTAATGTTTCACTGCATGCAGCCGCTACCAAAATAAACAAAAAAAGCTGTTTCAATAAATTGGTTATTTCTATTCTGGGATCATGTCTCATTGCTCAATGGAATACAACAGGTTTATTGGATGGTAGAACAATTTATTCTGGGATCTTGTCTCATTGCTCAATGGAATACAACAGGTTTATTGGATGGTAGAACAATTCATTCTGGGATCCTGTCTCATTGCTCAATGGAATACAACAGGTTTATTGGATGGTAGAACAATTTATTCTGGGATCCTGTCTTATTGCTCAATGGAATATAACATGTTTGTTAGATGGTAAAACAATTAATTCTGGAATAGCATCTAATCCTAATATATGTAGTGAAATATTTAGCTTGCAAATATTTGTTAAATTACAACATCACTTTAAAATTCATGGACAAATACCATTAGTTAAAATCTAAATATAATAACCAAACAAAATTGATTTACATTTAAAATCAGCTGTTAATTAACACTGTGACTGATGTAATAAATGTTTAAATTTTTAAACAATGCATTCTTCAGAACTTAAAGTTGGCCAAGGAGTTCTTCCATCCCTGGCCCTACTGATGTACAGTCACAGCAGAAATTCAGCAAGTACTCCAGGCTATGGTTATTTCATCAAAATTTGACTCTTACAATAACATGACGTATGCAAAGTTATAAAAATACATAGATCAATATTTTTAGGAAATGAGAACTAAGATATGTGGAGTTGCGATCTCAAAGTATTAACCTACATATACCACTATTCTACTGTAACATGGCTGCAGTTAATATTATAGCAGCGATGTCTTAGATATCTATCTATGCTGAACAATTTGCCACATAGCTTGCCTATCAAAATGACGTCATTAGTAATAATCTATCAAACTACATTTTGGATTCTCTAGAAAGCATGAATTTTTTGGGCTATCTGTAAGTTCAGTACTCAAAATCTACGTTGCCCTACATAGCGGGTACGATACTGAACGCAGCCCAGTTGATCACAACATGTTCTAAAAAATTTCCTTTCACTGTTCAAAGGATAAGCTCATCCTTCCATACCACCTGATTGATTTGATTTGTGTTTCATGCCACTTTTAGTACTTTTGGCTATTTCGTGACATTCAGTTTATATTGGTGCTGGAAACTGGAGTGCCCTGAGAGAACCACACACCTTTGACAGAAAAACTGAAAATCCTTGTCAATTAAGAATGGAGTCAAGACCACTTGCCATGTGTGGGGTTCGAACTCACAACGTCAGTGTTGACAGGTGAGTGATACAAAAGTTGAACTACTTATACCACTTGGCCTCGATGCCCCCTCCATATCACCTGATCTCTCTCTATCTTGCTTTTAAAAATAAAACAAAAGTTTTGTTGTAATTGTTGTCTGCATTTATGTCTTTTCATATTTGTTTCAACCATCTTTTTGCTGTTGATTTGTGTTGTTCCTTTATATTTTCTGAATTTCAGACTTGTTATTCCCCTTTTTAATACAGTCTGTTAACAAAGTCTGTTGCAAATGGTTCGTTTTTATTATTTCATACAGCAACAAGATAATAAAATTCAAAATAAATAAATTTTATTTCTAAAGCAAACAATTACTCATACCATGCATTAACATGATTTACAACTGAAATCAGAAAATTTCATTTCAAAACTGATTTATCTTCATAAGGCCGAATTCTGGCTATGTCCATTCCTTATAAATCAAGCAGAACAGTACCATTTAACCCAACCAAAGAGTATATTTTCATGTTATGATTGAGAAACATATCACACACATTGAAAATAAAGTGGGTGATCTCGAGCTCTAGATCAAATTTCTCAAATAAGCAAGAATTTTGTAGCAACAATGTAAATCATTTGTATCTTTATGTATATTTTAAAATGAGCCTGAACCTGATGACTAAAATGTCATAAGTATAAAATATCTTACTAGTGTTAAAAATATGACCAATAGAAAAAAAATAATGTTTATGTTGAAAAAGCATGTTGAGTATTTTAATACATTTTGTTTGACAATTTTTTGGTTATAAAATTCAATGTTCAATTCTAACTTTTCACATTAAAATATAAACATATTCATTTGCCTCACATCATTTATAAAAATTGTTACAACTATAAAAACATTACATAAAACTATATTTTGTGTGACCATAATTATGATAATTATTAAAAATATGAGGTATTACAATGTCTTCAAAGTATAAAAATTTAAAATATTAATCATAAATATATGAAAATAAAACTGAAGAAAATATATGCTGGTGCTTATGAATATTCCATGATGCTTACTTTTTCAATAACATTGCATTTTGAACAGATGAACATTGTTGAACTTCTGCAGCTAAATCTGTCAGCCATATTCAAGACTGTGACATGATAATGTGTATGAATATGAACTCTGCTTTGTAAATGTACTCTACTGCCACTCTGAATGAGCTGACCATACTGAGTATTGGACCCACAATCTCCCACACTCAAGGTGATCAGGATGCAACAACAACGGCAGAAAAGTATTGCATTTTGATATTCAATAAATTATCATAAGTATGTTATCAATTTGAGTAATTATATGCTAGATTCAATTTTTAAACTTCTGTTATTAGTGATTATTATATTTCACTGGCTTTATGGCACTTTTTTGGTTCTGTACGAACTGTAAATACACATGTTCATTGACTTGTCAACAATTTCTGTTTTCAGGTTCTTGATACTGAAGATTCAAGTTATCAAAAACTTTCTTTTCACTATTTGCTGGTAAATTTTTGCCCTGAAATATAAAGTCAGTATATCTATTAAAATAACAAGATAGTAATGTAGTGCAATAACCATAGTATAAATATTTTTCATCTGAAGGGGAAAAACTGTCAAGATGTGTTCCAAAAGTCAATCAATTACAATATTTCCACTATTGCAATAGTTCAAATGCATTCCGGGGTCATAAATGTTTGTAACTTTATATATTTAGTTATTACTAGCAGCTATATTCTGCTTAAGGAATAAAGGAAATTATCTTCTTTTCTGACCCTTTCAAACAAACTTGTTCAATTTGATCAAAATTAGTGACCTTTATTTGACAATTAATTATAATTATCAAAGACACAACATAGGATGGTATATCTAGGTCTATATTATGTTGCATTTCCAGAAACTTGACATCAAATATCTGTCAGATACCAACATATCCCCAAATTTTTTTAACTGAACTTCTTGCAACAAGTCAATTTACTTAAAGGTCTATCAAGAGATATACAAATATCTGTAAGAAATCCAATCAATATTACTATGAAGAATATATCTTTACCTGGGCATCTTTTTTCTTCAATTTACCAGAGTTTATAATGAGCAATTTGGCTTCAAAAACTGACTTATCTTCTTAAAATTGAATGAACTAAACTGAAAAATTTTGTGGTTAAAACATGCTTATAAATAAGAAGATGTGGTATGAGTGCCAATGAGACAACTCTCCATCCAAGTCACAATGTGTAAAAAGTAAACAATTATAGGTCTAAGTACTGCCTTCAACACAGAGCCTTGGCTCACACCGAACAGCAAGCTATAAAGGGCCCCAAAAAGACTAGTGTAAAACAATTAAAACAGGAAAACCAACGGTCTAATCTACATAAAAAACGAGAAACGAGAAACACTTATGAACCACACCAACAAATGACAACCATCGAACAACAGGCTCTTGACTTAGTTTATGTTGTAGCGCTATATTCACATTCAAACTTACTGTTGTAAAGTCATAGAATCCATGGCTGGTTAATTTCCTGTTTAATACCTTTTGAGAATACAATCTGAGGTCTCTATTAAACTGTTTACTGCCTGTCCATCCAACCAAAGCATAATAATATTGACTGTAAGGAGACATAATGAAGTCTACACGACGAGCTATCCAGTCTCTCTCACTCGTAGCAATTGTGAAAGGAGAATTTTCTCCATGACACTTTCTCTGTCTTTTTGCTTTAGGCTCATAATCATCTAAACTGTCTAAGTCTCCTTTAACTTCTTTACATGTTTCCAGTCCATTTGATAAAGGATTTTGAGTATCATTACCACAGACTAAATCTTTAGGGAGCTTACAAATTCCTAACCATTTTTCAAAATGGTCTAATTGTCCTCGTGCAGTTAATTTAAAGTCTTCAGACAAAACTTTTTCATGAAATGTAGACGATTCGTGAGAGCCACATAAAACCATGTTTAGTTTTTCAAGTCTTGTTAACAGTTTTGGTAAAAATCCAGTTTCTTCTCCTTTTGGATGGGTGAACAAAATATCTACATCATGGCCTTGATGTTTCCCCCTTAAAATAAATATTTCATATATATTTTAACAATTCTTCTTGATTAATAATAATGCATTTTAGATCCCCCCCCCCTTTTTACTTGTTATTTCATAGATAATGAACTTCGTTTATTAACACAGAAACATACCTATCATACATTTCATGCATAACAATATACCTCAACAGCAATATAAAGTACCTGGTACAAAGGTCTAGGAAATACAATAATAAGATAAATAACCAGCAGTTCAAATTGAATTAAAAAACACAGCAAAGCAAAACTGACAAAATATTATGACTGCTGAACAAGATTGCTTTTTACTTGCTTAAAATAGACGAGATAAAATTGAGAATGGAAACGGGGAATGTGTCAAACAGACTACCTGACCATAGAGCAGAAAACTGCTCAAGGCCACCCATGAGAGCATTTAACTTTCTGGTCTGTGTATAAATAAGGTGATATATTGGACAGAACACTTGAAAATAAATTATAAACAGAACTGTGAGTGAACTCACAAAATGTTACCCATCCCATACTATTAGTAGACTGAGGTAACTAAGCAAATTAGGTCATCAACTATTCAATATCTTAGACAAGGATTATATTCTTTCATGAATATCATTAGGTAGGTAAGCAATATCTTCCAGCAAATTTAGGAGGATTTGTGCTGACAAGATACATGAACAGAGACATAAGGAAAGGGTGATTCCAATATACCAACAAAAAAATTCTGAGGAGGGTGTATAATTATTAGATTTAATATTCTTAAAGAACGTTCAAATTTTTGTGCTTCCTAGAATTATAATTGGTCTCTGGGATTTTTAAATTGTAGTTTCAGAATAATCACATTTCAAATTAGTAGATATAAGGATTTTGTTGGGTACATGAATAAAATTTGAGAGTTTAATAAAACTTGAAATCACCAAATTTTGTACTTTACAATTCAAAGTACTTCACGATACAGGGTAATATATTCTACACAATACCTTCTGAAGCCTCCGGTCAGTTGTACTATTATTCCAGGTAGTATTTTCTCTGCCTCTGTTTTGATAATTTCTGTGAATCCATAGGCCTCATCAGCTTTCACTGGGTTCATCAAATCATCATGAAATGCGAGACCTTTCAAAATTATCATTACATTCAATTATTTGCTACCAAACTGACATATGAAGTGGTAGAAAATCTAAAGAGTCAAGGGTGATGGGAGATTACACATTTTTGAAAAATCATGATTACAATTGGACATTACATTAAGAATTTTCATTGGCATCAACTTTATAGTATATATAAGCATGAAAGGTTAGCTTCTGCACTTACCCAATTCTGCCGAAAGTCTTAAAGAGATATTTTATTAAAAGCGAAGATGTAAGTTTTTCAGATAATTGTTGAACAACTCCTATGAATTATCAAGTTGAAGAGAAGCAATTAAAGCACGTTGTTGTGATCAATGGATATTTCCTAGAAATGTTGTTGTCTCATGTTCATCCACCAAATATTCTTTTTTTCTACCACAAAATAAATAGTTTTGACTGATATTGGTATAGAATACTTTATTTTTGGTGACTGTGTGCAGGGCCATCTAAGCCCAAACAGTGTTCATTCTCTTGTCAAAAGCACTGATTTTTAAAATTGAAAATATTTAAAACAGGTTTTAAATGTAATATGCCTTCCTTAATTTTTAACTAATGCATCGATATAAATTTATTACTGGCACTTATTTATATTTTTTTTGGTTAAAATATTTAGAATGCATACCCCACTGTACCCTCCAATCTTTAGATGTATCAGTACTCTCTTGTGCATCTTTAATTGATGTCCAACCTCTCTCTATCCATTTCTTAGCTGTGGAAGGTCCAACTCCAAAAACACTGGTGAACATCTGTATTAAATAGATTCTTCCTATTATGATTGATATAGAATATAACAGCATAAACCATCCACATGTTAACCAGTTTTCTTGCATCCAGTCAGTTCAATTTAAATCTATAGTGCATGGGCATCATAAGTATTCATCAACTGCAATCTTTTGCTAACAACAGTTTTTCTAAAAATTCTTATAGGTAAGATTTTAATCAACTTAGTGCCACTAGAAAGAGCATTGTGTCATATTTGATTGTTTATTTGGTTAAAATGTTGTGAACAAAGCATATTCTACTGTGTGATAATTTAAACAGAAGTTTTATTCATTGTCAGGAAATTTGAAGTTTATTATAACTTAAATAAATTCATAAATTATTTCCAGTGTGTTAACCGTGTTTACATCAGAAGAAAACAAAAACAACTGAATACAAAAACTATCACCAAATAAACAAATAAAATCTATACATTTCTTCATCTTTCAACACCCAATTTGTAAAAATCCATACACAAACACCTGAAATATTATATTTTGAAAAAATATGTTTTTAAATGATTATACATAGGTTGATAATTGCTAGATTAAGTGAAGAATATTTATGTCCATCCACAGTATGTCAAAAACTATCAAAAAATTGCTAAACAACCAAATCAGTACGGTAATTTAGAAATTTTGGCACAGTTTTTAGTAAATCAATTCAAGCATACTTAAGTTATAGTACAGTGTGTCAAAAATTTTCTTAATTCAGTTCAGACAGGTAAAGTCTAGTAACTTTGAAACAACAAACCAGAAAATTTTCAAAACCAAAAGGGAGCTTATTTTTATCAATACCTACAATAAGGTAAAGTTTTAAAGAAATCAATCAAAGGATACTGGAGAAAGTTCTTGGTATGTGAAAAATTACCTGATTTGAGGGTTAAAAGTCCAGTAACTCTGGAACCACACAACTAAAAATGTTCATTATCAAAAGGGAGCTTTCTTCCAACAATCCTAATATTGTGTTTAAATTTTATGATAAATGGCTAAGGCAAATCTGAGTATTCATACTAAGTGTTGACGACTATGGTATACCATATTACATCACATGACTGTCATGTAAAAACATGGTAAAACCACATTATCTTAATCATCTTTAACACCATACTCTTCATTTTTTTATTTTCAGAAAACCTTTATGACTGAACACATCAATAAGTCAATCTTTTCTTTCCATAAAAAGTTCAATAATTTCCTGTAATACAGGATATTTTCCACTTAAAAGATATATAATAATTACATTGTAACTTATTGTACATGTATTTACAGTTATATATGAAAGTACAAAATGCAATGTGGTCTACATATATGCAAGTATATACTTGTATTGAAGTCTACATGAACCATGATATGACAAACAGGTATGAAATATGATTTTTTTTATTAATTGCATATATGAAATATCTGTATGCCACTATATACTTGATTTTAGAAAAATTGTACAATGCCATTGTAAAATTAACTTTTTTTTATAAAGATCCTTATTTTACTTTCTACAATTTTGCATGCTATTTGTGATTTTGTTGTCTATAGTACCATACCATAGAAATCACTGCATTTCTGAACTGATTTTATTGTACATTCTTCAATGAACCTTTTGTTATCCAACTTATCAAGATAAAAAGGGTGAGGTTAAGATCTGAAAAAAAAAAAATAAAGTGTAACCCATCGAGTATTGATCATGTTGATTGTTCTAAGTCCGAAACCTTAGGATCAGTTGTTGTCTTTAGTCCTATTCTTCTATTTTTTCTTTCTTTCAGCAAATGTACTTACAAGAATGTCTAATTTTGATGAATATATATTGACCTAGCCATGGCTGTAAATGTCAATTTTGGTCTATTTTCCTACTTTAATTCAACATTGAGATGTGAACATTAACAAATCTGTGAGTCTTTGTCATTCAATTATTACCTTGTAGTTACAGCAACCCCCATGTTGACTGGAAGTAATTGTAACTTCATTGTTTTGCTTGGGAAATATTAATGGCAAACCAGGTCTGCCAAAATGTCCGTTTTTACAGATTTCAGACAAAAAAGTGACCTATAGTTTGTACTATGAATTCATCTGGCCATATAATACCTGTCCTCCTTGTGTTTCTGAACTACCTATGAATGTACCATTAATGTTGTAGCCAACAAACCACTCCCCCTCTCCACACCTGATTTTTGCTGCTTTTCTCAGTTTTCCGATTTTTACCTCTGAGAATGGAATTAAGGTTGTCATAACAACGCATATGGTAAGGGTTTATTTACCATGAATTGCAAGATTGAACTCACTGCTGTCAACACAGTGCACTTGTGGCAGTTTTAATAAAGTATGGAGGGCCATATGGGCTATAAAGGAATGGCTTTTGCAATCACAACTACAGGCAAGATTGAGGGTGTATGGGTTAAAACAGCTTATTTTACAATCTGAAAAAAATGCTCTTGTCTGTAATATCTGTCTCCAGTGTGCTAATATTTACCATTTAATGTTTCATTTTCACTAGATTACATTTATATATATTTATAATTTTTCTGCATTCGTATGGTGCACATTACAAATAACCTTGTTTATCATAATCACATTTTTCAGTCCATAACTGTACACTACAGTTGCAACAGAATGTTAATAGTTTAATTCAGTTGGTGTGATGAAAGGAAAAGAGTAATATGCTTTAAAGTAGAAGCCCTACACTCTGAGCCTACACTTTTGTACATGGTTTTATAGTTATCAAAGTAAAAAAAAAAAATTCATTCCTCTATAGTACCTATGAAGTTTAAAATTTCTATAAATTAAAACAAAAAAATTCAGATTTATTTATGAGTATAATCACTCTTATTATAAGTGCCTTATTATATATCACAATATTTGTATTACAGATAAGCCAAAACAAACACAATGGATGCAATCATAATTACTAAGTTGGTACTGATACTGTTAAGCAGTAATTTTCTGGATATTAACAATGCCACACCTAGAAACTATCATTTGGAATTCCTCTGTGCAAAGTTCTACAAGAAAGGAGAACTTAATGTTGATTGTTCATATAAAAATCTGACATACATTCCTGATTTACCATCAGACACAGTCTATCTAAATTTACAACATAACCTCATAATCCAAATACCAAATGATACTTTTGAACACATGACTAATTTAACAGTTCTAGACCTATCATTCAACAAGCTACAGTCAATGAATGACCAAACATTCAATGGACTTGGAAACCTGAAGCATCTAAAACTGAACAATAATAAGTTGACTGGTGGAATGCCAAACAAAACCTTTGAATATATGACCTGCCTTGCTGATCTTGATCTATCATTCAACACATTGAAGAGAATAAATTTACAAACATTTGTAGGACTTCATAACCTTCAAAATCTTCACCTGAATGATAATAAATTTAATTATCATATATTTAGCTTTCCTGCAGGATGTTTTAAACCTTTGAAATCACTCACAGGGCTTTCTATTCATAACAACAATTATTTGGCGATATATGATTATAGTATAGTTTTTCCAGATAAAACAATTTCTGATTTAACAATGCTAGAAATACTAGTACTGGATGTTAATTCTGTTATAGCGGATAAAAAAATGGTTTTTGGAAAAGGGTTCCTCTTCCTTCAAAACCTTTATTTACTGAAAGCTTGTAACTGTTTTATTTTTACTCTAGAAAGTGACACATTCAAGTACACACCATATTTAACACGTGTTTATTTCAACAATTGTTTGTTCAAGATATACAGGAAAGAACATAATGAATTTTCTAAATTAAAGAAGCTGAAAGTCGTACAACTAAATGGACCGAATAAACTTCATCCATGGATAAATGAAAATAAACTGCTTGCTTTAATTTCAGGTTTGTCAAATACATCAATTGAAATACTGAAAATGAGTCATCTTTTGAATTTAATCAACTCAGATTCTCTTTCAATCATAATAAATAATATAAGTGTTTTATTGAATAAATCACCTATTCAAGAACTGCATTTTACCAAAAATATCAACGTACATGTTTCTCAAATGGACATACCTGTACAAGTGCCATCTAGCCTTAAAATTCTGGATCTTAGTGATAATAGTTTGGAAGTGATAAAACTTAATACTAAACAAGTTATATTCCTCAATTTAGAAGATAACAGACTTGGAAATTATCTGGCAAATAATAGCCTCTGGATACAAAAGAGTAAACTGCAATATATAAGTCTGTCAAACAACTCTATTTACAAACTTCACATAACAATCTTCAAAGGACAAAAGTACCTCAGAGTTATTGATTTAAGATTTAATTTTCTGAAAAATATTAATTTTGATATGACTTCCCTGGTCGATTTAGAGATTTTAAATCTCAAAAACAATAAAATAAAATATTTAAGTGACCAATCAATAAAGGAGCTAGACAAAGTTTTTAAGAATAATGGGAATGCAAAAATTGATTTTAGCAATAATCCTCTTCAGTGCAGCTGTTTTACATTTCCATTTTTGAATTGGATGAGACATAGTCATAAACATTTTACCCATTTCATGCACTACAGATGTGAGTATGAAAATGGAAGCTTTTCGATGCCTCACTCATTTGAAGATGTAATACTTCAGCTTCAGCTAGACTGTACAAATCATTCTTACCTGATTATTAGTGTGTCATTTGCTGTTTTGGCTTTTATAGCAGTATTATCAGCAGCAATTATTTACAGAAACAGATGGAAACTGCGTTACTTATTTTACACAGCAAAGTTAAAGTATACCTCTCACAGGAACATGGAAGAAAATTTGAATGAATATGTTTATGATGCATTTATTTCTTATTCTGAAAATGATCGTAAATTTGTCATAGAAGAATGCATCAAAAATCTTGAAGAAAATGGAAATATGAAATTATGCATACATCAGCGAGACTTCATGCCTGGAGAAGAGATTACACAAAATATCATCAGTGCTATTCAGAACAGTCGAAAAACTATATGCATAATTAGCCGATCTTTTCTTGAGTCTTATTACTGTATGTTTGAATTCAACATGGCAAGAATGGAAAGTATTCATTCAAGAAATGGAAAAAACGTGTTATTTCTTGTGTTTTATGAGATGTTGCTACCAGAGGAGTTACCTCTAGTATTATATGAACTAATACAGAAACAGTCATACATTGAGTATCCCAATGATGAGCATGGCAATGTTATTTTCTGGGACAAAATTAAAGATGCTATTCATGCATAATTGAAATATGTTAGGAAAGTTGATTCAAAAAAGGGATTTTAATGTAGAAGTTATGTTTCATGTTAAGATTTTTCTTTTAATTCGTGTTTCATTAATGGATTGACCCTCTCCCTGCTTATTTTTTGTTTCAGGAATAAGTTAATAATTAAAACAATTAAAAAAGAACGTGGCAAAATGAGGAAAATGAAACTTCTAAATTAGGAGTATAAGAAAATAACATAAATTACGACTATTGAAAAAAACAACTACAGATTTTTTTTTGAGCTGAGAATTTGCTAATCATGGAAATATTGTATTATGTTATCTGTAATACCAATGTGCATTTATTCTTCCACAATATTACCTGTGACTGTGTAGTGTTTAATAAGGTAATAAGGGGAAGGGTTAAAGCTTTAAAAACTAGAATAACCCAATCAGGAGTATATGTGCCTACCCTGAGCCAATAATTTCATCAGTGGTTGTTGTCTTTTTGTCTATCAAAGAATTGTATAAGTTTCAGTTGTGTGTCAAATTTACTTACACTTTTTCCAGACTTGGGATGATTAAGAGTTTGTTGTAAGTGTTGGTACTTGTTCGTGATTGTTTGAAGACCTTGTGGTGGCCTGTTAATTTTAAGTTTTAGATTGATTTAAAATTAGTTAATTTTAACCTCATATCCACCTTTCTTTTAAATATATGTTTACACTTTTTCAATGGTTAATCAAGACAGGTTTCACAACAATATAGACTCACATTTTTTTATTTTGTGTAAAGTATTACCTGAAATCATTATAATGAATCACACATTTTGTCTTTTGTTTAAGAATTGCAATGATAAATGCCAACAAAAATTTCTGCATTCACAGTATTATTCTGGTAAACCATCTGAATTGAAATGAAATCCCCTTTAATTTAAACAGCAGTTGATATTTATATAAAATTGAAAAAGTTGGTCGACACATGTATATGGTTTCTGCTGCAAAACGCAGGGATACTTAATTTACTGTGTATGAAATTTTTTTTTTCAAAGCCAAAGTTAACAGTATCAAATACACTACAGTTCAGGAGACTTTTGCTTTTTTCCATATGCCCAAGTTGGACGCCCACTAAAATTCAATCATTGTGGAGAGTGGACACAACTTTTACATGTCCCCTGTGCCCACCCTTAAAAGTGGACATGCCATTTCGTTTTCAAAAAATAGAATAGCTATTGTATTCAATGTTTTTACTTATTCATATACACAATAAACTGTTATCACAGAGATATGTCTCGCCTTTTTGTAATTTTGATAATGCAAATGTTGAAAATTAAAATAGCAATACTTTAACATGTAAGCTATGCAAATATTCAAAGTCGATGAACCATGACTGAAGGTACATGGCTAAACAATCTCTATGGAATGAGATGTGCCAATGCTAATACAATTTCATACTAAATACCATTGACTTATTATAAGTAGTTTAAACAAACCTAAACACAAACATTAACTTGTAAACTATGTAAAAGTTTCGAAGTCAATGAACCATATCAAGGATGGGGCTATATAATCTCCATGGAAACGATACTTGCAAATGCCAATAAATTTGTATACCAAATATCATTGACTTAACATTAGCAGTTCATCTTAAACTGATCTAATCACAAACTAATACATGTAAACTAAGCAAAAGTTTCAAAGTAAATAGACCATGACTGAGGGGGTGGGGTCAAATATTCTCCATGGAAATGAGATGTGCTAATGCTTATACAACTGAACACTAATTAGCATTTGCCTACCACTAATGGTTCCCCTTGAACTGACCTAATCACAAACTAATACATGTTAACTTAGCAAAATTTTCAAAGTCTATAGACCATGACTAAGGGGGCGGAGCCAAATAATATCCATGGAAATGAGATATGGCAATGCTTATACAACTGCATACCAAATATCATTGACATACCACTAGTGGTTCCCCATAAATTGACCTAATCACAAACTAATACATGTAAACTATGAAAAGTTACAAAGTCAATAGACCTTGACTGAGGGGGCGGGGCCAAATAATCTCCATAGTAATGAGATGTGCCAATGCTAATACAACTGCATACCAAATATCATTGACCTACCACTAGTGGTTCACCATGAACTAGACCTAATCACAAACTAATACATTGTTGACGCCATCGCCGCCGTCGCCGACGCCGGAAACAGCATGCCTATGTCTCGCTTTTTGACTCCGTCAAGGCGAGACAAAAAATGCATGCGTCCTCAAGTTCAATTATGCTCTAGTTTTTAGTATAATAGAACTTAATATATCCTGAAATTCCAGTTTTTATGATACATTTTTACAACAAGTATTCTATTTGATGTAGTTCTGATTCTTTAAAATATAAATGTTGTGATTTTGTTTAATTAAACAGATACATGTGTGATCGGCTCTTGAAATGTATTAGAAAAACAGGGATGTCAACAAGTTCTTGTGTAACACTTTAAATAATGGATGCTGGACAAGAAAAAAGTATATTTGCTTAAGCTAAAATTTTTTAATTGTAACTTTGCCAAAATTTCATTTGGTATATATTTAAGAAATCATAAAATTATACGTCTTTGACAGGTGTTTAATTTGAGGACCACGACTTGTAGCTGCAATTTAAAATGAAAGGATATTTCATTTTATGCTTATCCTTTTTGTCACTATTATTATTATTCTTGACCATTAAATTGTTTTCTTTATTTCAAAGAAAGATACCATTGCACATAAATGTGTATAAAAAATAAAAGATGTGGTATGATTGCCAATAAGACAACTCTCCACCAGAGACCAAATAATGTAGAAGGTTAGCAACTATACGTCACCATTCAGCCTTCAATAATTAGCATAGCAAGCTATTGAAGGCCCCGAAATGACAAAAGTAAAACAAGTCAAATGAGAAAACTAACTGCCCAATTTACGTGTATAACTTTAAGGAGATGTGGGGTAAATGACAACGAGACAACTACTAGATGACACAAAGAACCAAAACATCTAGTAGATGTCAACATACTGTCTTCAACATTTATACAGATGCTTTTACAGTAAGACTAAAAGTCAAGCTCTTAATCGCCCTGGGCAAAAAGTGAAGTGTGGAACAACAGTAATACTATTAGTTTTATGCAAATGCATAGATTTCCAAGCAAAAAATAAGCCTCTAATTAAGAATCTGTCCTAAGCCAGGAGCATGTAGTCCAGCAGTTATAGTTGGTTGCTGTCTGTTAGTTTACTGTTATTAGCTTATATCAGGTCCTTAGTTTCTCTTTGAATTGTTTCAATTCTCACACAAACAAATAAAAGTCCTAAAGGAATTTATTGGTGTATAAACTGGACCAATTCTCTCACAAACAAATCATCTAAAGGATGTGATCGACTTGGTCCAGTTTATACACCAATAAATTCCTTTAAAAAGGCGTTTAATCCTTATAATACTTTAAAATTGGAGATAAGGAATTTAATTTCCCCACTCGTAAATTGTATACTTGTGTCATTGAATTGGCCTTGCGCATGAATATATATTTTTTGGTTAACGCAAAAATATGTACTCCATGAGATTTGCTTTCTGTTTAATCAATATCTTATTATCATTCAAATGAATATTTTGTGTTTATTATTTAATTTAACGATGAACGAAAAGTGAAAATAAATATTTTAAACGTCAAGCCGGTTTAATTTGTGTCATCATCGCAGCCATATTGTTTACATTGGTTACAAAAAGTTGTTCCGTCAACGTCGCCTATCCAAAAATAAATAACTTCAAGAGCCACTACCAGAAGCCTACTCGACCAATCATATAAATGTATTCCCTAATATGCAAATCATATAAGAATTATACTATAATAAACGATGTTATCACAAATAAAGATCAGGATGAAAAGGCAAATTTTTTAACACATTTTTGTTTAACTTCAGATTTTTCGCAGCAGATTTCCAAACAAAAAGATTACTATTTTCATCTATGAAAAATCAGTTACTCAGTAGGTACCAGTAAATAAAAATTCAAAGTATCATCAAACATGAAAGGAATATCCTTCAAATGTAAAAAAGGCTTACACTGTACAACTCAACATTATAAAGCTCCAGACCAAATATCAAATCTGACATTCTGAATTTAATACAGAATCTGATCTGTCAATGGAAAACTTATAAAACCAGATGTGCTGTGATCATTTGCCCATTAACTATTTTTAGGCCAATATTCTCTATTCTTTATTTTGTTGGTCCATTTTTCTCTATTCTGTATTTTTTTGGCCCATTGTCCTCCTGTCTTTGTCCATTATTCTCTATTCTGTAAACCCCATCTAGACCCTCGACTATACCCCCTCTCAATGTTTTTGGCTCTTTTTTGCACTAAATTATAATGTGATAAAAATTAATATATATATCATTTATATATCAAATTTCTGAATAATAGCCAACGATAAATCTTACGCGGCGATGGATCATATAATTATGATACAGTACACTACAAAATATAATATATAACAAGTCTAAAAGGGTACAACATCACCAAAAAAAAAAAAAAATCATGAACAAATGTTAAATATTTCGGATAACTAATATCCTTCATCAGTAAGATGTCAAATGAATCTTATCTTGACATGTGGTAGTCAAACAGAAATAATAATCTTGATCGTTATACAAATTATCACGAATCAATACGCTGGTAAATTTTTTTCAATATTGATGTTTGGGAGGAGGAATAAATTCCTTAAAACTGTAAGAGTCCTGTACGGAAGCCTGAGTTACAGGAAACAAGTGATGGTAGGAAAATGAGTGATGGTAGGGAAAATGAGTGACTCATTCTATGTTTTTTCATTAATGCCCTCTGGGGAAACTGTCCTTAACTTTCTTATCCAAAACCTTTCCCGAGCAAGTCTGTCGGCCCTTGACCAACCATCGTTGTGGTCTATGATAGTGATGGTAAGGTTTTTGAGATAAGCTTGGGCGTACCCAGGTAATCTCAAATGACGACTTACGGGGGGGGGGGGGGGGTCGGGCTTGCAGGTGTAGTCACTTCGATGACCATTCATGCTTTTGTTGAATGGCTGTTCTGTCTCGCCAACATACTGCATGCCACATCGACACTGATGAAGGTATACAACATTCTAGGTTTTGCAAGTTACATTGCAAAATATAGTGTACACAGACCCAGTGGAGTGGCAAGTAAATGTTTGATTATTCAGTATTTGTTGGCAAGTCAAACATCGTCTGTTACCACACGACTTGCAACATCCTGCAGTTGAAGAGCTTTTATTAGAGGAGACATCAGCTCTCACAAATAAGTCTTTCAGACTTGCTGGTTTCCGAAAAGCTAAGACAGGAGGTTTGGGAAAGATCTTGGATAATTTTGGGTGTTTGGCAATAATTTGCCAATTGGCACCGATCAAACGTGAAAGGTTAGTAAGGCGGGATTGTATGTTAAAACAAACGGAACTATTTCGCTTCGCCTCTTCTGTTTGTACTGTAATAGGTCATTGCAGCTGTTATTGTTAGCACGCGCAAACCCCTTATCTATGTCCAATTTCTTATAACCTCGTTTGGTCAAAAATCCGCGAAGTTTCTGTAACCGTTTAGTGACAGCCTCCTCAGAGGAGCAAATCCGCTTTACTCTGAGAGCTTGACTGTACGGGATACTTTTTGTACAGTCTTTGGGGTGACAGCTTTGGGGAGAAAGGTACTGATCTTTTATCTGTAGGTTTACAGTAGAGGTCTGTTGATATGACACCGTCCTTTATAGATGTAGTTGTGTCTAAGAAAGATATTTTAGAGTCGGAAATTTCATATGTAAATTTAATTGACTGGTGGGCATTGTTTGCATGTTTGATAAAATCATCCAGTTTTTGTTGGGATTCAATCCATTTCATGTCAACATCATCGATGAAACGGAACCAAGACAGAGGTTTGGATAAAGATGTTGAAATGATTTGTTTCTCTAATTTGCCCATGAAAATATTGGCGAAAGACGGAGCCATTTTCGTCCCCATCGCTGTCCCGTTTATCTGAAGGTAATGTTCACCATTAAAGGTGAACTTGTTGCATTTCAGAACCAGAGTAAGCAGCTGGACTAAACATTCGGTAGGTGGTTCTAAAGTGTTGCACGAGTCCCATATTTCCTTACACGATTGTATTCCGTCATCATGAGGTATGTTGGTATACAATGAGGTGACATCTATGTGACAAGGAGAGTTTCCGGAGGAAGAGGGTTCATGGATTCCATTTTACGAAGGTAATATGTGGTGTCTTGAA